ATAATTTTCTTTACATCTTGAATGTAATCATTAATCAGTATTTTCTAAAAAGTTATGGTAAGGTTTTTGTTTGTTTGTTTGTTTTATAAATATCATACATTATTAATTCATAAATATCATTATGTTTGAGTAGCATCAAATGACATTTTACTAGCTAAACTAACTTTTGTTTTAAGAGGCTTATTGGCCTTGACACATTTTCAGGGGTCCTTTCTTTGATATGATCTCCTTTTTTTTCTTTTTTTTTCCTGTTGGTTGCACCACATGACAGGACAAATGTTTATTTATAAGCTGTGAAGGACTTCATACCAGTCTAAAAACATGTCTTGACAATCGTTTTATAAAACATAACAAAAAGTTTTAATATTTTCTGAAAGTTATTTTTTAATAAATATCATAAATTATTAATTCATAACTATAATTCCTTTGGGGGGGATTCGCGCCACTTAACTATCCACTGAACTATCATAAAAAGGTGAAATTATTTTAAGAGGCTTATTGGCTTTTACACACAGTCATGATATAATTTCCTGATTTCTGAGTTATTTTTCCCTATATGTTGGTCGCACCACATGACATGATTATATATTAATACTAATAAGGAGTGAAGAACTTTTTTGTGTGTGTATGTGTGTGTGTGTGTATATATATATATATATAGTGCTGTGAAAAAGTTTTTGCCCCCTTCCTGTTTTTTTTTTTTTTTTTTTTTTCTTTTTTTAAAAAACTGAGAAAAAAAGTATATATATATATATTGCATAATAAGTTTTATACATATAGACGTGTAGGCTATATAGTTTTTGCATTGTGACATTGTCCCTTCCCCAATTTTCAGTAATTGCAGTGCACAAAGAAAAAAAAAGATTTATGTTTATTTCAATAAGGGTTATTATAGTTACTTGAAATAATAAAGTAAAAAAAACTAAAACTGAGCCTATATAGACATTTTAAAACTAATAATAATGACAAAACCACACAACAAAATTACAAAAGCTTTAACTAAAAGAAAATATGAACATAAAAATGTATTCAAAATGTTCATGAAAAACTGTAATAGTATCAATGATACTAAAATTACACTCATAAAATCACTATTACAGTAATGAGAATCAAACAATAACCACAATTAAAATGTAAAACTTTATATTACCATTATATTGCAATAATAAGAAATTAGTATAAAAATGTGCTTTAACTGTCATGAAAATAATTTAAAATAAAGTAAGAATGGTACTAAAATAGCCTTAATTTTCTTTATGCAAAATAATAATAATTTAATAACAAACAAACCATACATATAAAACATTTTTAGATTCTAGACTGCTCCGCCATGCTCGATGGCACCGCGGACTCACCCCAGCGGCGAGGGATCTCTGGCAGCGTGCCCCTCCTTCCTCCCGGGTTTCGGCACCAATGTAACAAAGTTTGTAGGTCGGGAAGAAGGAGGCGGGAACCGGCGAACCCTAAAAAAAACTTTAATAATAAAATACACTCAAAATAGCGCGACAGCCCCTCGCGGACGACTGCCACGCACAAACTAAACCAAAACACAAAATAAAATCCAGGCCTGGTCCTCTCTCCTCTTTCCCTGTCGTCACTCCTCCTTTGTATCCTTCCGGAGCTCCTCCGTGAGACTCGAGACCGGTGAGTGGCGCAGGTGTCGCGCATTCGCAATTACTCCACCGGCCTCGCTCTATTCCCACGGCTCTCGGCCCCGCCCCTCTCGTCACACATATTTGTCACACAATGATTCAGATCATCAAACAAATTTTTATATTACACAAAGATAACCCGAGTAAATACAAAACGCAGTTTTGAAATAATGATTTTATTTATTAAGGGAAAAGCTGTCCAAACCTGCCTGGTACTGCATGAAAAAGTAATTGCCCCCTAAATCTAATAACTGGTTGTGCCACCCTTTGCAGCAACAACTGCAATCAAATGTTTGCGATAACTGGCCATGAGTCTTTCACATCGCTGTGGAGGAATTTTGGCCCACTCTTCTTTGCAGAATTGTTTTAATTCAGCCACATTGGAGGGTTTTCCAGCATGAATGGACTGTTTAAGCATCTCAATCGGATTTAAGTCCGGACTTTGATTTGGCCACTCCAAAACCTTAATTTTGTTTTTCTTGAGCCATTCAGAGGTGGACTTGCTGGTGTGTTT